TTTATATTTTTTAAGGCAAGTATCGGTTTTCTATTTGGAAAAAAAAATACAAATTTTTTATCATCTTAATGGTAAAGCCAATCGAACCACATGCTGCGTTATCATATGTTTTATATGCCAAACCATGATCTTAGACTTCATCAACAAAACTCAATCTACAATTTCTTCAATCATTTTGCGTGTAACGCAGCATGTGGTTCGATTGGCTTTACCATCAATATTTTTGTGTTTAAATTATTTTGCTATATAATCTATTGATGATAACACAGTTCTTTTGCTATGTAATCTATTGATGATAACACAGTGGCATATGGAATTTATTGTTAATTGCAGTGACACAAGTGGACAAAGTCAAAATAAAAATGGAACTTTAATCCATTATGAAGATACATTATTGCAAAGTTAGGTTTAAAGTTACATCATATAGACTTCATTAAACTATGTTCAACTTAGGGGCGTAATTTTTAGTTTTTTTTTGTTTCCTTCTTCCCCTACACGTCAATCAAGTGTATAAGTTTAATTTTATTGCAAAGACAACGATAGAGAATCTTGAATACAAATACATTTGACATTTCTTTTACAAATACGATAAGATTAGATCTAACATATTATTGCAAGGACCATGAGAAGTAACTCAGAGGGAGAGAGAATGAGGAGTGGCCATCACTAGTAAAGGAAGCTTTTTATGGACAGTGGTTCCAGGGTGTTCGCTCATGTCCAAATCTTTTTCCGTTACTCCAGTTGGCAACGTGAAGTTGAAATTAAGCATCAATTTTGCTAATGCAAGCTCATCAACAGCCATGGCAAATGTAATACCAGGGCAGCCTCTCCGACCAGAACCAAATGGAATGTACTCGAAGTCATGACCTTTGAAGTCTATTCCGGTGTTAAGAAACCTCTCTGGATTAAAATCATCGGGATTTTCCCAAAACGTCGGGTCTCTTGCTATTGCCCAAGCATTGATGATCACTCGAGTTCCAACTCCGATGTCATACCCCATTACTTTAGTGTCTTGCATTGCCTCTCGAGGGAGCAGTAAAGGAAGCGGAGGATGTACTCTTAGGCTCTCTTTGATCACTGCCTTTAAATAGGGCATTTTCTCTACATCATCTTCAGTTATTTCTAATTTATTTCTGGCTACTTGTCTTACCTCATTCTGCAGTTTCTTCATGATTTTTGGATGCCTTAAAAGCTCTGTCAATGCCCACTCTAAAGCAGTAGATGTTGTATCCGTCCCTGCACCAAACATATCCTGTACAAGGAATGGCTACTACATTTTTTAGCAGTTATTTTGCTTGGTAAATCTCGTTTTTTACCATTCACTCTTCTTGTTGAAGCCATTCTATGTTTCGTGGGTAAGTGAAAGGAAATAACACATGCATATGCAAATAAAGAAAGGAAGAGAGGAGAGATTCTTACAAAAATGACAGCCTTGATGATATCAGTTTCAATATCGAAACTTGACTTGTTTTCTCTCTGAATTTCGAGCAATATGTCCACAAGATCTGGATCTCCAACTTCGTTGCTTACATCATTAGGATTTGTCTCTCCTTTCTTTCGATTTCTGTGCTCTTCAATTGCTCTTTCCCAAAATTCATCAAATAGTTTGGCCAATTTCTCTACTCTCGCATCAAAACCATTGACTCGATTAATCCAACTAAGCCCTGGAATATAATCTCCTGGATTAAACGTACCTGATAACTCCCCAAATTCCTTGTACATTGACTCCAATTTCTTGATCGTGTCTCCACCACTATATTTCCATCCCAGAGCCACTCTACATACAATGCAATTAGCAAGCGAGACCAGCATATCGCTCAAGTTTATCAACGATGAAGATGAATTTCTAATCTTTTCAATCGTTAGGGACGTTTCTTCTTCTCTTATATAACGAAAAGATTGAACACGCTTGTTACTCAAAAGCTGAAGCACACATATACTTCTCACCTGCCTCCAGTGCTCACCGTAAGAAGTAAAAGCTATGTCTTTAGAGCCGTAAGCAACTTCATCAGGGAGCCTAGATTTCGGCCTGTTTGAAAAAATTAGGTCCTGATTTTTCATGATCTCCCGAGCTCCATCAGCAGACGAGACAATAACTGCTGGAACTCGGCCAAGATGAACCAGCATGAGTGAACCATAGCGTTTGGATAGTGCTTGCAGCGAGCGATGGGGGTATAAACCAACTTGGTGAAGATTTCCAATCACTGGAAGCTTTGGTGGAGATGGAGGTAACCTTTTCCCGGCTGTTGAACCAGTATTAAGGTGCCATTTGAAAACGAAAATGATGAACAAAATGAAGGAAACGAAAGGAACCATTAAATGTGCAAAAGAAATCATTTTCAATTCTTTGCAGAGGACGTTAACGAGATAGTCTTCTTATGATCGACTATTTAATATGATATGATTTTCTTTGAACGCCATACAAATATTAAAATATCAAAATTAACAAGAAAATAATTTGGAGTTGTCATATTCATCTTTATGAAGCGGTCCAGCAAAAGGACACATTTTTGGTTGTGTGGTTTTTCTATTTTTCTCATTTATGTTCATTTATTATTAATCGTTTCCGTTTGTACATTACAGGTAACATTTTTAAAATTGTTTTCAATATTTCATTGAGATTGCCTGCAACGTACGTTTCTTAAATGTCAATTGATCGGATCCACCACCTGATAATCAACGTTGAAAGTAAATGCATATTGACATCTACAGCACGTACATTATTTTTACAACCACAAGTCTTTAATTTGTGGCAATTAAGCCCCTGTTTGACAACTATACGGAGAAAATAGAGTTTTGAATAACAATTTTTAGGAGAATGTACGGTTAAAAAATAAGAAAAAGTTTCGAGTTTAAGTGCATAATATTTTATTGTGTGAATGCGTAGTTTAAAATAAGTATGCAGAAAAAATAGTTTGAAAATAATAATTGTCAAATTGAAGCTAAGGCAGAAGCCTGCTAGGTGTACATGGAAAAAACATACAGGCATTTTAAATGTTACATTTGGCATTTTTTGATTGGAAGTTAACAAAAAAAATTTCACCATACAGTGAGCAGCACTTGTAGATAGCAAATTATGAGACAATAATTGACTTAAAAATACATGGAAAATAAGAAATTCTAGAGGGACCCAGAGATTCTCGAGAGATTGCTATCTACGTCTAGCTAAAATTGAGAACTTATTAATGAAAATTTGAAATGCATGGAGAGAGAGAGAGAGAGAGAGAGAGAAAAAAAAAATCCAATGACCACCCTGAAATTATAATTTGAATAATGTTATATCTACATTCTTTCTTATCACTTAGATAACAATCCTTCCCATATGGAGGAAATTTGTGCAGCGGTGTGAAGGATGATATCAAATCAATAGTATAAATGTTGCCATGTAGAAGTGTAAAAGAAGGTGTAAGAGAGTTTGTATATATATAGTGATTGTTATAATTTTGGAGTTGTCATATTCAAGTTTTTGAAGTCGTCCAAATTATATTTATCGATCCCATAGGAAATATAGACAAATTTACATATAGACATATTTATGCTCCTTTCGTTTTCTGTTATATTGTGTGAATCTGTGATAGATTTGGAAAGGTTATACGTTTCAAGTCATATGTATGTCATTAGTATTTATTAATTATAGGATCGAGCCAAATAAATATGATTGTGACAAAAATATATAAATAACATAATATTTTACTTGGTTTGCGTGATACATACGTTCGTGAATCTCTCTGTCAAGAACTGGACCAATCCCTACTAGTGTCCAATTGTGTTACATCGTTATTGTTATTATTTTTTTGTCGTTAAACAAATATTTATTATTTATGTTCATTGTAAATATTTATTACATTTATAATTATGAGCGAGTAATTAAGTGCATTCAGTCGCTTTGTGATAATATGAGTTAGGTGTTTGCGTAGAGAAACACATATAGTTATTAAAGGTCTCAATCAAGAATTAGTTTATCTGAAACTATTAAACACAAGTTGCCACATATGGTAAGGTAGTATGGTTCAAAAACTCTGACAAATGGAATTATGCATTTTATTTTGATCGGTGTAAAAATTCCGTTATGAGTATTAAAACTAGTACAATGAGTATATCTTGGTGTAGAAAGACAAGAGAACTGTGTGTAGATTAATTTCTATAGCATAATCGTGCACAATAAATTAATATACACGTGAATATTTTACAAATTACCTAAATCGATAACTAAGTAGTTGTATCTATTTGTAAACTCGATATTATTTGATGTACTAATGAGTGAGTTATAATAATAGGATCAAATACCGTGGTACAATTGGAGCTAATAGGAATCAAAGTAGTGATTGTGTATTCAAGTTTGAAAATTGTCACTTCGAAGATTAGTTTAAATTTGATCTCATTATTTGGGGATGCCCGAATCATTATTCCGTAATTGTATCACGAAGAAATTGTCAAAGAAAAACAAGCTTAAGTGAAAAAAATAAATAGAAGGCCTAAATGGTCATTTTAGCTGATATCTAAAAAATCGAAATGCGATGGGACTAAGACATAAAGTTGATATTTTAAGAGGATTTAATTGTAGTGAATTGAAATAAGATTATTTTTGTGATTTATGTAATTTAAGATTTTTTCTTACATTTAGTGGAGAGAGCAGAAAATAATCTACACATAGTTCTCTTTGCCCCAAGCATATTTGTTAACAACAATAATCCTTAGTCTCTTTTTGCACTACAAGAATCAAAAAGGAAAAATCATCAACCAAATAAATGACTCAATTGCCACATATTCAGACTTTGTATGAATTATTAAACAGTTAAAAACAATTTTTTTTTTTTTCAAGGTCGATGAAGTTTACAGCCTTGTTAGTTTTTTGGTATCCATGATGTTAAATTCCTTTAGTAGGAATGAAGTCACTAATATCGAATGTTGTTTCCCAATTGCCAAAGTTGCATGGAAGTCATTCGCGCCATCAATTTTTTTTTTTTCTGAAAATAAGTTCAAAAACACGTAAATTTCAAAAAAATTATTCAAGAAACATGGTCCCAAGATCTAATAAATTAATTATTTTTTGTTTCAACTAATCTAAATTAAGCACATTAAGGGATTGAGAAAATTATCCTGGAAGCGTGATTAATTTTACGACCTAGGTACAAGTATATCAATCAATACCTTTTTTAGTTTTTACACTTTTGGCGCTTGGTGAAGCGAAACCTACAAATATTACTCTTCAGTTGGATGATTGTTAGTTTGATGCCCTCTTATAGTAAGTATATTGTAACGACATTATGAATTAATATTCTATTATTCGTATGTTAGAATTTGCGACAATAATCTAAGGTTTCATGATCATATGAAATAACAAATTGCATATTCGACAATTTGGGTATAGTGAGACACAATTCGTTATATGATCAAAAATATGTCGTTCATAATCGGCACATGAAATTGGACGCTTTATGTTGATAAGATTAAATTGTTCTCATTGAGATTTGTCTAGATCTGGGAATAAGAACAATACCGTGTGTTGAAGCACGTTGAACAGGACCGTGTGCTCGAAATGAGGCACCACTCGATTATCGAACTAGTCCCCTAAATCCTGAGCAAGTGATGTACCTTTAATTGCAAGTTCAAGTTCATTGAGATACCAATGAGTAAAGTCTTAATTAGAAGATCAATCTCGATATTTTGGGAATTTGGGCGAAGCAGTTAGAGATCATATACTTGCAATAGTGGAATTCGTTAATCATCATGATGAGACGATCGTCACTCTAAGATATATCACAATTGGTCAAGAGTTGACCCAATTAGAAATGTCTATTGGAGTTTGAGTCTTGTGAATTTGGTTAGGTCTCCCTCTTTTGGCTCCAATAAAGGTGTGTGACTTAATTGGTCTACTACAATAAAGTCCAAGGATATTTGTGCAAATATGAACCCTAATGGTGTATTATAAATATGTCCTTTAAGGGCACATTTACCAAAGTTAGGATTTTAGTCATTTTTATTCTCTTAAAGTGAGGAGAAGCACCTAAGGAGCACAAGGGAGGAAGCATTTGGCACCGGAGGTGGTGGTGGAAATGGTGCTATGTGATTTTTGCTAGGTTTTGTACAATTGGGCCAATTTTTTATTTTTTTGGGCTTTTCTTAAAAATTTGGATTAACCCTATTGGATAAGGGCTTTTTTTTTTTTTAAAGATTGGTACTCAAAAATTAAATTGGCCCACACTTGGAAGCATGGATTGGACTACAAGGAAATCGAAGAATTGGGCCAAAATGTGGCCCAATAGGATACTTTAATTCTTGTTGTAATTTTAATTTTTAGGATGAGCCATAAGTGATTATTATTCATTTAATTATTGCTTTTATCGCTTTATGGATGATGAATGGATATATGATTATTACATGTCATGTAGATTAAATGAAACACCACCTTGTACGCTAAAATCTTCTGAGATGCAATTGACATGGTCCTAAAGACTCTCCCTGAGATGTTCTCATAGTTCATAGTTGATTATAATCTACACAAGATGGATATGTCCCTGATGAAATTAATGAAAGAGCTCCAAAATGCTGAAACTGTTCTCAATGCCAGAAGTGAAAATGTTATGTGTGTGATGCCGGATCTTCTCATCCTAAGCCTTCTAGTGGCAAAGGAGGAATCAAGAGGAAGAGACCAAGCAAGAAGTAAGATGGCAAGTCAAAGGGAAAGAAAATCACTATCGATGGAAAACCAAAGGAAAAGTGTTTTTCTTGTGGACAGAAGGAACATTGGAAGAGAAACTGTCTGGATAACCTAGCTAAGGGGAAGCAAGGTAAAGGCAATACGCTATTCATTGAGTCATGCTTAGTGGTTGATTCTACTAGGACCTGGATTGTAGATTCTAGAGCCACTAATCATATATGTAATTCTTTGCAGGGGATCTAGGAAACCAAGTATCTCAATGAAGGGGAGTACACTATCAGAGTAGGCATAGGAGCAGTAGTATTCGCCAAAGCAGTAACTGTTATTATGTTCCTGAACTTACACGAAACTTGGTTTCCGTTGCACTTTTATATCGTGTTGGTTATTCAGTACTTTTTAGCCATTCTACGATAGTTATCAAGTTAAATAATTTTGTTATATGTTCGGGTCATATGGTTAATAGTCTCTAGGTCTTAAGTCCTATGATTAGTTATATACATAACACTACTACTACTACTACTACTAAGAAAAGAAAGAGATCGTCTAGTACCAATGAAACTCTTTTATGACATCTTAGGTTGGGTCATATTAATCTAAACAGGATCTTGAGATTGGTAAATGATAGACCTTTAAATGACTTAGAGGTGGAATCTATACCAACATTTCAATCTTGTAT